CTATAGATGCTAGTCTTAGAATTATGCATTATTATTTCATATAGGTACCTATTGGAATAATGATTTATCTTTCAACTAAAATTATATCCATTAGGTACTGAAATTAGGACCTAAACAATAAAATTACGATGTGTATTTACACTCGAAACATATTATTCATGGAACAGGAACAAGATCTACGGTTAAAAAAAAAAATATATATATATATATATATATTATGTATATATTTAATATTTAGATTTTAGATTTAATATTTTGCTATAATTTCAAAATGTTCCATAAATTATATTTCACATAATAACGAAAAGAGTTAAATCATTTTAAACTCGTATATTATCCTGATGATTGAAAATAAATGCTTTAAGTGTTTTGAAAAATGAACAAGCTTAATCTCAAATGCTGAAACTTTACTTTATTTAACAATATTTAAATCATTAAATCCTAACTAAACAACTTGTTAACCCGGAATTTAATGTCAGACGTTACGTTCTATATACTATTATAATCTTACGAAAACGGGATTATAACTTTTTAAGTATTTGAATTTCTCTTAGTGTTAGTTTGTATTCAGTACGGTTCTTCTTGAGAACGTGCTATAAAAAAAAAGTTCCTACACAGTATAAGAGCTTTTATTTTTTTAAACTAATATTTCGCTACGCTATTATCCTTTTCATTGTAACCGTATCAACTTCCCTCCAGCCACCTCAAAAACATATTGATACAACTTTGGATTTCTATTTTTTTACGATATCTCATTAAATTTTATATACGTGTAACTCCAACACAACGTACTTACGCCATATATAATAATAAAGTTATACCTACGATACATGTATTGTTGTTGTTATTCTCGTTTGGGTCATTAAATTTTATTATTTTTCATAGTTTTATACAAAGCATATACATATATATATATATATATATAAACCAAACCGAACTATTTGGTTGAGGGTTTCGTGATATCATATTGTTTCTTATTACGATTTTGGTTTTGATACCTTTTGTCCCATATAAATCGTGCTTATGTCGGGCTCGTCATGGCAACATGATATTATTATATTGTCGCACGGTGTTTAAGTTGCATAAATAAAACATAATCGACGTTTAAGCTCCGCGGGCGTTTTAATGCAACGTAAAAGCAGATGATATATTATATATTATTGTGCTTGCAAATGTCTACTGCGTTTATCGGCTTATGGTATAGCTGGTGTACTGTGTTTAAAAACAGATAGAACAAAATTCAAAAATGTATTCGTTACGATACTATAATATATATTATTGACTGTGTTTGCACTGACCGCCTGTATAAGTATTGTAATATAAACGGCCTAGAATAAAGTTCGACATTTATTCGCCAAACGATTGACTTCAAGTGTCACGTATAATCAGTATTTTACGCTCGTATATTATGATATTATTATTTTGAAGTATGTGATATGTTAGGCAGGTTATATATATATATATTAATCACTATAGTTGTGATCCATGATAACATTTATATAACTGGCAGTCTAAATGACAATGTGTTTGCCGTTCATTCGTCCACCATGGTCGTTCGAACGTTGTATACTAACGTAAATTGCAGAGATGGCCAATTTGCGGCTTGCGTATTTAAAAAAAAAAACAATATTTACTTATGAACCATAAAATAAGATAAAATCATAAAAATTATAAAATGTATTTATAAACATTTTGGTTCTTTATATCATTGTATTTATGCATGTGGCTCGTGGTTACCCCTGGTATATTCAAATTAAACACTCAATTTCAAAGTAAAATACAGTCCATTTAATTATCAAACATTTTTGTTTAAACATTGAAGAAAGTTAATCCAAAACGTATTCGTATTACGATACTATACATTACGACTGCGCGTTCACTGACCACCTATATAGGTATTGTAATATAAACTACCCAGCATAAAGCTTGAGATTTATTTGCAAAACAACCAACTACAAAATGTCGTGTTACCTATAATCGGGATTTTACAGCGCGCATATTATAATGATATACACAAATATAAACTGAAAATAATGAAACAACAAACGAGAGGTAGCTGCAAGAATTCAAGCGGGAAATAAATTTTACAATATGTATATGGACTCAAATAATTGCTCCATAGTCACGGGCATTGTCAGGGTATGAATGAAAAACAGCTATATGCGTCTCTTCAGATACGACCAGTTATGACTCGTATGAGAATAAAAGTTGAATGCTAAGAAAAATGAACAAATATAAGTTCATTAATTTTCAAAGAAAAAAATTGTACAAAGAATTTATTGCCTAGTCAATGGTAATACTATAACAGAAAGTGAAGATGAAGAAACAATATAGAGCTAACAACATAGCATACTTTGCCTGACTTTTTGAAAGTTATCTACATAGGAAGATAGTAATGGGCTAGCAATGCTGGCAGAAACCACAATTCGTTGAGTGATGGGGAAAAAAACCTTTGAAAGGCCGGAGAATGCTCTGGGAAGATGTCTTAAAAAAAGGATTTCCAACATTTAGGGAGAGTTATAATTGGAACAATCTAAGTTCGGACAGATATGGATAAAATATTGGTTGTGAGACAGCATGGTCTTAAAAGTCCATTAAACTCGAGGGGAAAAAATGATAATATCTTGACCTTAACATGATATTTTAAGAACATCGGCAGTGCTTCCATTTAAAGCGATAATCGGAACTATAGCATACGTATCGTAGTAAAAAAATCTCAGCGATAAGTTTAATCGCTTATGGTTTAATTCTATCGAATCATTATAGTAATATTTAGCTTCTATAGTTAAACGCATCTGTATGATATACATCGCCTTAAGAATGTACGATGATCATTGCTCAAACTAAGCCACCATTCCGTGTTCATCGTATCCGATGTGCGTGACTCAGACACGTTTCTAAGGATTTTTTTCATTGCTGTTAATATTAAATAAACATAGTAAAACAGAAATTTACGGAGTAAAAACACACATGACAGCGGAATCCACGTACTTGACCCACAGCTCATCAAGGTTCTATAGTGTGACTTTCATACCGGTCTCGAGGACCCAACTCTATTCCGCCAGCAATATAAATGCATATACACCTATTCGGCCGTCACAAGAATTAATTTTTGAAGAGGGTCGACGTAGAAAATAAAAATAAAGTTTATCCGAAACCACAGACATAAATAATATATAGAAATAAACGGGGTGGTAAACAACAACAAAAACAATTTTGTGGTATCACCATCATAATAATAATATTAAATTGTTGTAATTTCAATATTATTATTACTAATATTATGGCCTCCTATAGGTACGTGTACCGTGGAGAAGTTGACGTGTAAGTCGAATCGAGTGAACGCAAAAGTTCTCGATTGTCATTGCGGATATAATTATACATCCCCGATGGTAAATTATAGTTTCGATTTATTAATGTTCCGAGACAATTATACAGGACACGATTGTTCGAAGGTGTCTTTTCAGCAAAAGAGTTGTTCACGTCGTCCGTTTGGGTTCACCTCTTCTCGTTCTTCTCGTCGTCGCAAGTCGTTCGTCTTTTGGAATTGATATTCAAATTTTTACGATTGTGTCATTTTATCCACTCTTCGATTTGATGTGGATTCACGAGGGTATATGTATACATATTTATATTAGAAAATGCATATGATAATATTAACTAAAACGATAATCACATTCCGAAAACATTTTTAGCCATTGCATGTACCACAGATGGCGGTACGTTTT